ATACTCGTATGCTGAGAATGGGTGGAATGCCATTGTTGAGAGGGGACAAAAGAGGGGAGAAGATCCTTTTCTCTAGTAATGGGATTTTTTTTTTTAATTTTAATTTGAAAATTTTCTTCTCTTAAGAAAAAATTCCTAAAATTTATATCTGAGTGAACACACACACACACACACACACACACACACACACACACACACACACATATATAGTTCCTTGATAATGTGAGAAGTCACGAAAGCGCTTGGAATTTCATTATTTTTTCATAGTGGTTGTTCTGCATATATATATATATGACTGTATAATGCAAAATATCATTTGCTTTAATGCGAAAAGGTCGTGGTATAATATCTCACGAACAAGAGGTCTGTAATTATCTTGTCACATCTGAAGTGACCATAAGACAGAGTTAAATTTCTTTCGTAATCGAGGACAATATTTCTGGTGTCTGTGTTGACTCTCCACGGTGGGTGCTTTGATGCTAGTGAACGGCTCTTCATCCAAGATATTGGAGCTACACTTCCTTTCTTAGGATCAGCGCAAGTGCCTTCCATTTCCCAGCTTCTGTATAAACCGTAAGCTAAATACTTACGATTACACACGTAATATTAGACTCAATATCTCCGTGTTGAATTTTCAACCGAACTTAACTTCGCCAGACGTTCCTAAAATTGCATAACTAAGTGATTTAGGAAGCTAGAAAATGCTCATACAGAGCCTCTATGTAGGTATCTTGTAGGTCACTGGTAGCACGTACGACTCGCAATCAAAGTACCCGGTTCAATCTCGGGGTGGAGTGAGACATATGGGCAAGTCTCCCGATTACTCACCTGCCCTCTTTCACCTAGCGGTAAATGGGTACCTCAGTCTTCAGCTGACTGTTGTGGGTCGCATCGTAGGGAAGGAAAACAATCTCATGGCACTAAGCCACACTGACTTTTTTTAAGATTAACCTTGGTTGTTAACCTTTCTGGTTTATAAAAACGTTAGTAACGTTAGTAGTGTATATGAAAGTGGATACGAAAAAGACCAGTTTATATACAATTTATACAAATTAGAAAGGGTAACTAGACAACGTCTCGTATAGATGGACCGAAACGTTGCATTGTGCATGAGCAAGTTGTGAATTGTTCCAGCCACAGCATTGTGGGTTAATTATAAATTGTTCCAGCCACGGTATTGTATCTTCTTTTCTCTTTAATATATGTATAAAATATATATATATAATATATATATATATATATATATATATATATATATATATATATATATATATAATATATATATTATTAATATAATATATATATATATATATAACAAACAATTTTTTTTTTTTTCTATGGGCGTATTTGCCTGTATATCTCGATGTATCTATCAGGACGAAAATAGTTCGAAAATGTGTTACTGACCACCAAAACCGAAGCTATAATGTCTCTAAGAGTGCTATTAAGTGGCAACAGGATGTTTGTTGAACTGACCTTCCTCTCACCTGCTATGACTGGCGGGGAAAGCAGACTGTTTATCCTGGATGTTTGGCGAACTGACCTACCTCTCACCTGTTATGATTAGCAGGGAGGGAAAACAGAGATTGTTTTTATCCTGCCTTCAGACATTTATATGTATGGGTGTACAGGTGCCGTGTAGATATGAAGCCTTTATTGGTAATACGGTTTGCTCGGACTTAGCTCCATCAAGTCATGTAGACGATATGAAAATCTATTGTGGGATAATGTTAAGAAAAAAGAACTGTGTATAGCGTATGTAAAAAATAATTATTTAATAATATATATATATATATATATATATATATATATTATATATATATATATATAATATATATATATATATATATATATATATATATAATATATGCTATCATCTAATTAATTAATATTTATTTACACTTCCAACGGTGATCAATTGATATTATATCATTAAATATAATCAAATCAATATATATTCTCCCTGAAAATTACTAGAAAAATAATCATTATTTATAGACAATACTAGAAGAGACATAAAAATAAAATCGACTCAAAAGTCCAAAATTTTAAATTTATCTTGTAATTTATCAAAACTTTAAAACTTTGGCTGCTTAAGAGATGGTAATGTTATATTACAAAGAATAAAATAATCTCATAATTTTTTGGTGCATATTTACATACGACACTAGATACCGGAGGCGGCACTGAGTGCCACGCATACTATGTGTAGCAGCGGGTGCCAGACATGGCATAAGAAATAGCTTTATCCATATATATAGGGTGCCATATATGTAGTGTGCTTGATATAAGATGAAACATAGCACAGAGTGCCAGGCATGACACCAGGCAAGGCTCTGGGTGCCAGACATGACAATGATGGTAACGCTAACTTCAAGCCGCAGGAGCAATGCGTAAGGTCCATGTGAGATCTATGACAGCCGTGGTGGTCACTCTCGGTAAAAACTGGTCGCATTAGTATACCTGTTTTGTTGGAGGGGAGAGAGAGAGAGAGAAAGACAGAAAGAAAGAGAGAGAGAGATATATGGAGAGAGAGAGAAGCAGAGAAGAGAGAAAATAGAGAGAGAGAAAGAGAGATAGCGTACGGGGTGGCTGAAGGCAGGAGCCTTCGGCTCTCCCAACTTCAATATGACCAGTGTGAAGGTTGCACTATGTCAACAGCGCCACCTTTCCTTCCCTGCAGGTGTGTTTAAGGAAACCATGTCTCCCATCACACTCCTCCATGGGTCACTACGCTGTTATAGCTACTCAACCTATAGTGAAATGTTAGACCAAATCCTCATCCCGAAGTCTCCAAAATTAAGTTGTCACATTTCATTAACTTTATGTATGAAACTCACGCTTCATACTGTGTCTTGGAGGTTGACACCAAAACATTACTAATTTTTGTTCCCACCATGGAATTGTAATATAGCATAAGTGTAGCAGCACACTGCGGGTATAACCATCATATAGAAGTGTAGCAGCACACTGCGGGTATAACCATCATATAGAAGTGTAGCAGCACACTGCGGGTATAACCATCATATAGAAGTGTAGCAGCACACTACGGGTGTTCCCACCTTATACCTACCATAATGTACCCACACACTCAAAAGGTGCTTAACTATGTTAAACAAAACAAAACGAAAAAGCAAGTTCCCCCTGACCCTAAACTCTTAAGTTTTATACAATGTTAACAAGTGTTCTCTGCCTTACAGCAGGTGTTCGACACCGGTGAAATTATCTTCCAAGGACTACCACACTATCAAAATCATGTGGCCAGCACCAAACCTTTTTTTTTTCTTCTCTTCTTTGCCCTTCTTTATATCCGTGTATAAAATATACAGAGCACACGAATAGACTTAGAAGCATGTTAAGCAAGTGTGAATCGTCAGTGAGATTCGTTATTATTATTGTTTCGGGGAAGAGCCAAAACCATAAGTATCATATAGCGCCTCTGGATGTGGGAGGTAATTAGGCTCGATCCAATGAAGAGGAGGATAAGCTTGTTTCCTTGGATCAAGAGCCTTTCACCATTCAGGGGATGACTGAGTGATGAGCCACGATTGTGTTGTGCCATACACTGTTTCGGCGCTCCAATTCCAGCTATTAAGTTAGTGTTCTCCCTCCTCTCTTTTAGCATGTTTTCTCTCTTCCTACCTTCTACACTTTGCAGAAGCTTGAACTGGGACAACGTATCGCCTTGTGTAGAGCTTTATTCTTAGTAAAAGTTCTACACAGAGCGAAACACTGTCCCAACGAATGCTTGCTCCGAAATGTTTGTCTTTTCTTCACTTTTCTCTTTCCTCTTTTAGTTTGCTTTCTCTTCTCGTTTAAGCTTAGCTCACTCACTCTCTCTCTCTCTCTCTCCTCTCTCTCTCTCTCTCTCTCTCTTCTGTAATAAAAAGCGTGTTGTTGTTGTTGTTCTTTGTATCCGTCCCTGACTCTTTCTTCTTCGAAAAGCTTCTCCGGATATTTAAGTTTCCTGTTGGAAAGTTCGTCAGAGTTTCTTGCTCCTTGGCTGGTGTTGCCATCCATCTTGCCGGCAGGTCTGGCTTCACTTCCCGTCAGGCCCAGGTGATGAGGCCCCACACGCACCGGGGCTTCAACCGGTGCAAGATTACCGGGGGAAAGCATCTTTGGGTTTCCTGTCGCCGCTTGCGGGCGCCGCGGCACCTTGTGAAAGTGAGAGGAATGCACATGGAGGCTTGTTTCAAGGTCGAAGCTAGTCCCGTAGCGTGCACTCCATTGTGTATTTCACCTGAAGGGAAAGTTGGTGTTTACAAATTGGGTTTTGGGGGTGACCTAGAGGGGGTTTAGGCATGGGTGTGGGCGGTGTGGGTGTTAGCGGTCATGCAGTAAGGGGTGGGTTGCACTGAGAGTTTAAAGGTAGCATTTCGTGCCCTGTCTGGAGCTCGCTATAATTCTATCTCTCGCTTGCAAGGGCAGTTAATGTTTATAAATTGAGTTCTTGGGTAATCTAGAGATGTGTGGGTGTGGGTGTGTGGGCGTGGGTGTGTGGGTGTGGGCGGTCATGCAGTAAGGGGTGGGTTGCACTGCAGGCAACGCGTCACTCTAGTATTGATTGTCACCCCGGCGATCGTGGTTGTCTGGCAGCCACCCACGACGTGCGGCTCATGACGCCGCAGCATTACCGCAGTGCCGCAGCCGCAGCCGCCCTTTCCTCCTAGCGAGGCTCTTTAGAAACCCCCCATCCCCGCCCTGGAACAAGTGCCACCAGTAGTAGAAGCCTCTGGCACTCTTATGACGTTAGCTTCCACAAGCCTTGGCATCCCCCAGTAATCCATCCTCAACTCTGTCAACACTTGATGTCCCTCCTATTCAATTGACATGACAGGTGACACCGTGGATGACAGGTGAAGGTGTGAAGGTGAGCGTGGTGGCTCCAGTCAGCTGATAGCACTTACAGTGCCGGCTAGAGCCATTGATTGGGCGCGGCCCTCAGCCAGCTGGTCCAGATGCACCAAACACCAGAGACCTTTAAATCTTCAACTTACCTTTAGAGATTCTGCTGAGAATAGTATCCTTGTGTTGCTCCACGTGTGGCTCGGCCACTACGATGAGGAGATAGGACCCGGATAAGGGGGAGAGAGCCCCCTCCCCACGGGGTTGTGGGGCGGCAGGGGGCGGCGGGTCGGCCATGACTCGACTCCGCGCTGCCTCTGGCCACACTGACTATCCAGCTCCCTGCCGCTAGTCCGCCTAGCCTTTGCTTTGCGCGCGCAGGCACCCTCGACCACAGCGACATCTGTCTCTCTCTCTCTCTCTTTCTATTCTAATTTTCTCCTTCTTGGTCTTTGTTACACACACCTTATCAATCTCTACTGCAGGATAAAACAAGGCTGATCTTCCCTGTTCAATCATAAAGCCGCAACAGCACTTTCTTTTCGCGGATTTTGGGGATTCCAGAAAGCCGGCCGGCGACTCTAGTCTGTACAGTCTGTGGCCGATGCGCGAAAATTGGTTGAGAAGAATCCACTGTGTCTAGTCGATGGTCGTAGAATATGTTGTAAATACATGTTTAATGTTATTGGACACATTTGAATATGATTACCCTGGAATATTAATGCTAGAGAATATGTGAGAGCCAAAGAAAGCTTAGTGAAAGCTCTTTTGGCGACCCCGCTCTCTAACTCTTCCTTCTCTGCAGGGGCGGGGCTTTGGACGGGTCCTTAGACACGCCTATCAAACATTCACCTCGTAAATCTTAAGCCATGTAATTAATTCCTCCTAATGGCAGACGTTCTTGGCACTTCGAGTTATCATTCCAGCAGAAAAGGAAACCTACCTACATTCTCATGATCGCTCTTCTGGAGAAGAGAACACAACAAGAGCCAGACGAGACGCGCCAGTCAGGTGTTCCCCGGATATAAATAACTTCATCAGCAAGAGTTATTTAATGCTGAAATGCCCAGGGGTTGAAGTCTTCCCCTTCCACCAGGACCTTCGACAAGTTTCTGCGGCTCCAAGGTTGCCACAACAGCTAAAATCTTACAGAAGCTGTAATTCCCCACGTGAACTCACGAACACCAGCAATATTCCCAATTTTTGTCGTTTACTGCGACAGTGTATTAGCGACAATGACGAATTTAACCTCAAAAGTCAATAATCACGAGAAATATTTCAAACTGGACATAAATTTGCTGGAAAACATAAATACGGATGACTAAATCCTTTGTATCAAATACCATTCGCATGAAGACAGGTAAAAAACACTGAACCTACACTCTGTATAGACACGTAAAATCGGAGGCAATATTATTTTTTACACAAATAGGAAATAAGAAAAAAATAAGAGGAATATAAATCGCTGAAAATATTGAACCAAAACAGGACTCGCAGCAATGGATTCGAGAATGATTTAGAGAGGATATAGGTAGGTATTCGTTTTGCAACAAAAAATGTTGTGAATGAGTGAAGCAGACAGCCCAGAAGTGAGACTGAAACTAACATCTTCGGTAACTTTAAAAATAAGAGAGATAAATACATGAGTGAAGATGTGTTGGTGTCAGCAGGACCTGTCTAGCCTGAGCCAGAGAGGGCCTCCTGCAGTACTTCATCACCAGCAGGACCTGTCTAGCCTGACCCAGATAGGGCCTCCTGCAGTACTCCATCACCAGCTGGATCTGTCTAGTCTGAGCCAGACAGGGCCTCCTGCAGTACTCTATCACCAGCAGGACCTGTCTAGCCTAAGCCAGAGAGGGCCTCCTGCAGTACTCCATCACCAGCAGGACCTGTCTAGCCTGAGCCGGACAGGGCCTCCTGCAGTACTCCATCACCAGCAGGACCTGTCTAGCCTGAGCCAAACAGGGCCTCCTGCAGTACTCCATCACCAGCAGGACCTGTCTAGCCTGAGCCAGAGAGGGCCTCCTGCAGTACTCCATCACCAGCAGGACCTGTCTAGCCTGAGCCAGATAGGGCCTCCTGCAGTACTCCATCACCAACAGGACCTGTCTAGCCTGAGCCAGACAGGGCCTCCTGCAGTACTCCATCACCAGCAGGACCTGTCTAGCCTGAGCCAGACAGGGCCTCCTGCAGTACTCCATCACCAGCAGGACCTGTCTAGCCTGAGCCAGACAGGGCCTCCTGCAGTACTCCATCACCAGCAGGCCCTGTCTAGCCTGAGCCAGACAGGGCCTCCTGCAGTACTCCATCCCAGCAGGACCTGTCTAGTCCTGAGTCCAGACAGGGCCTCCTGCAGTACTCCATCACCACAGGACCTGTCTAGCCTGAGCCAGAAGGGCCTCCTGCAGTACTCCATCACCAGCAGGACCTGTCTAGCCTGGCCAGAGAGGGCCTCCTGCAGTACTCCATCACCAGCAGGACCTGTCTAGCCTGAGCCAGACAGGGCCTCCTGCAGTACTGCATCACCAGCAGGACCTGTCTAGCCTGTGCCAGAGAGGGCCTCTTGCAGTACTCCATCACCAGCAGGACCTGTCTAGCCTGAGCCAGAGAGGGCCTCCTGCAGTACTCCATCACCAGCAGGACCTGTCTAGCCTGAGCCAGACAGGGCCTCCTGCAATACTCCATCACCAGCAGGACCTGTCTAGCCTGAGCCAGACAGGGCCTCCTGCAGTACTCCATCACCAGCAGGACCTGTCTAGCCTGAGCCAGACAGGGCCTCCTGCAGTACTGCATCACCAGCAGGACCTGTCTAGCATGAGCCAGACAGGGCCTCCTGCAGTACTCCATCACCAGCAAGACCTGTCTAGCCTGTGCCAGAGAGGGCCTCTTGCAGTACTCCATCACCAGCAGGACCTGTCTAGCCTGAGCCAGAGAGGGCCTCCTGCAGTACTCCATCACCAGCAGGACCTGTCTAGCCTGTGCCAGAGAGGGCCTCTTGCAGTACTCCATCACCACCAGGACCTGTCTAGCCTGAGCCAGACAGGGCCTACTGCAGTACTCCATCACCAGCAGGACCTGTCTAGCCTGTGCCAGAGAGGGCCTCTTGCAGTACTCCATCACCAGCAGGACCTGTCTAGCCTGAGCCAGACTGGGCCTATTGCAGTACTCCATCACCAGCAGGACCTGTCTAGCCTGAGCCAGACAGGGCCTCCTGCAGTACTCCATCACCAGCAGGATCTGTCTAGCCTGTGCCAGAGAGGGCCTCTTGCAGTACTCCATCACCAGCAGGACCTGTCTAGCCTGAGCCAGACAGGGCCTACTGCAGTACTCCATCACCAGCAGGACCTGTCTAGCCTGAGCCAGACAGGGCCTCCTGCAGAACTCCATCACCAGCAGGACCTGTCTAGCCTGAGCCAGACAGGGCCTACTGCAGTACTCCATCACCAGCAGGACCTGTCCAGCCTGAGCCAGACAGGGCCTCCTGCAGAACTCCATCACCAGCAGGACCTGTCTAGCCTGAGCCAGACAGGGCCTACTGCAGTACTCCATCACCAGCAGGACCTGTCTAGCCTGAGCCAGATAGGGCCTCTTGCAGTACTCCATCACCAGCAGGACCTGTCTAGCCTGAGCCAGAAGGGCCTCCTGCAGTACTCCATCACCAGCAGGACCTGTCTAGCCTGAGCCAGATAGGGCCTCTTGCAGTACTCCATCACCAGCAGGACCTGTCTAGCCTGAGCCAGAGAGGGCCTCCTGCAGTACTCCATCACCAGCAGGACCTGTCTAGCCTGAGCCAGACAGGGCCTCCTGCAGTACTCCATCACCAGCAGGACCTGTCTAGCCTGAGCCAGACAGGGCCTCCTGCAGTACTCCATCACCAGCAGGACCTGTCTAGCCTGAGCCAGACAGGGCCTCCTGCAGTACTCCTTCATCACCGTGTTCGTATAACACAAACCTTCACAATTTTGTGCTCTTAATACATATGTCCACACTACTTATTTTTGTATATAGTAAAGAGACAACCTGCAGTAATATAAACTTTATTAATATAATGTTTCGTCTGTACAGTTCAATTCTTTAAGAACTTTAGAAGAAAGTTCATCGGGTCGCATGTATGTATTTTCCTTTAATTTCTCTACTTGCTTAATATACAAGTTTCTAATTACAGTAATGTTATGTAATTCATGTTCCTCAGATCCACTGTATCAATTAATTATGTGTTGTGCATTGTGTAAAGACTGATGTGAAATAATTGTTAAAAAACGAATTCATTTCTTTCTCATTATCAATAGAGAGTTAGTTATAAGTGCACCCGATATTGCTCTAATCTCTGGAAGAAACTTGTCGGATTTGCCAGTGATTCCTTAGTGACTTTAATCCCACAGTCTTGTTTATCTTTTCCTATGCCTCCTGTTCGTCCTTTCTCTATAATTTCGGTTCAAGTTGATATCTATACATTTTTTCTTTTTTTTTTTTTTTGGTTGGATTGTACAACACATAAAAATATGTCATTCTGGAAGACTATTTTATATGTAAGATGTTCATTGATATAACAACTGATAAAGTTTTACCATTCTGCACAAGCCAAGTGTTCCCTAAGATCGTTGTAATCTGCCGAGCGATAATCTGGAACTTTTTCTGCATTATCCTTATGACACTTCCATGTATTATTAAAAGTTATAGATTTATGATCAGTTATGCTGAGCTCTTTAATGATCTCAAGATTATTTACGAGAGTTTCCTTGTATGGCAGAACCAGGTCAAGCAAATTTGTTACCTTCAGATGGTCTTCAGATGCTAGAGTTACAGATTGCTTAAAAAAAAAAATCGTGAACACCACCGGAAAGTCATGAACTCCAGATTTAAAGTCGTGGAATTCCATTTACACTGGGTGCAAAATTATTGTCACCCAAGATAAGATATTTCTGTCTTGTAGCCTTAACAATTTCGTCTTAGACTGATCACTCTTGGTAGATTTCTTAGTTAGGGAGGTCCGTATAATACATTTAAAATCAACTATTCATGTCGTCCTAAAAGTTCAACTCAGGCTGTTTGCCTGTTATTTCAGCTTTTGTAACTGATATTATTCACCATGTTAGGTTTCGTAGGATATATCGTCGCTAATATTCTGAAGTCAACAGTATGTTTTAGGTTGGTTGACCTCATCATTGGTTAACCTCATGGTTCAGTGATACAGCTCCTGACTTATATTTTAACTTGAAGAATTCCAGTCTTCCGACTTCTCTCTCAATAAAAATAAACTTTGCTTTTGGGTTCGTGAGTTTCTTGGTTTGTGAGTTTGCCTTCTAACAAGGTAGG